GCGCCTCGGGGGCCGGGGGGGGGGCACGCCATGCTCCAGGTGGTATTGAGGTCTGGCTGCCCTGCCCCTTCTGCCCAAGCCCCCAGCCGCCCTGCCCCCACTTGGCCTAGGGTCCCCTGCAGACTGTCAGCACCCCTGGCAATTTATTAACACAGATGATTTTCTTTTAGTTTTCCTTTCTCTTCCTGCATTAGGTTCTTTTCCCACAAGGTGGTGCAATTATCAATAAGAAGGACATTACAAAATGCTGCTTGGCCATTGCTCATCCATCTCACAAACATCCCTCACAGCGAGAGACGAACCATGCTCCGTGTGTGTAGTTTATTGAAGAGAAAGCTCAGGGGTGACTTGGTCACATGACGAACACCTGTATGGGGAGAGGCTGGACCCCGTTTGGTGTAGGAAAGACGGCTTCTGGCAGTACAGCCTCCCTGAGAGGAACTGGGAAGTCAGTCTCCCTTTGGCTGGAGAGTCTATCCTTTAGGCAGGGCGTGCATCAGGGTCCATGTGGTCTCCTTAGCCCAGAGGGAGATGGGAGAGGTTGTGGGGGCATGGGGATTTTAATGACCGGGCTTATTAAATGCTGCTTGTATTTATGTCACCGCTGGGGCAGTGATATCCACAGGTAATTACTGGAGTTTGTTTGCTGCCCCAGATGCAGGTTGTATGGGGACTCCCTTCCCCTCCTCCCCCCTGCTTGGAATTGGTGTTCTGTGCAGCAGAAATGTGACTCAATAATAAAGAAGTAAAGTTAGCCACCCAAATGACAGTGGCCTAACTCTCCGTGGCTGCACACTTCTCCGGACCGAGGACAAGGGGAGCTGAGCAGTTTCGCCCAGTTGAAGTAAAAACCTCTGTTTTGAAAAGAGCAGTTTCCAGATCTGTCATTATGAAAACCCCCATCTGGCCAGACGGGGGGCATGGTGTGAGCCCTAAGCTACATTTGCATTGAATGCTGGAGGTAGATTTTTAGCACATTTGCTGGATCTGAGCTTGTTCGGGGATATATGGGCTCAGGTTGGAATTTATACCCCAAGCTCCAAGTGGAGCCAAACCTCAGTTGCAACAGCAGAAACAAATAAACATTTTACAACTGTCATTTACACTGACAATCAAAAGTCCCAGATATGCCCAGCCCCCGCCCATTTCCTCCATCACAGCGGTGCTGAGAGCCCCACGTTCCAGCTCTTTGAATTCTCTCCTCTCACTTGCAGGTATGTTTGCCATGAAGGAAACTCCGCCCCCTGCCCTTCTGATGGGATTCGTGGTTACAAATGCCCAAGTGGCTTCCATTGTCCTACAGGCACCAGGCAGGAAATACCCTGTGAACCGGGAACGTTCAGCCCTATGCCTGGAGCAAGCACCTGCCTCCCTTGCCCGGCTGGTATGACCTGCAGACTTGCTGCCACTGTGGAGCCAGTCAGCTGCCCCAAAGGTGAGGAGCCCAGCTTCACAGCAGAACCCCCACACCCCCGATGAGAGGTTCATGGGGTGGAATCTTGACGTTGCTTTGTTGCATGAGGAGTTCCTAATGCACCCTTTGCATTTACAGGTTACTATTGCCCTGCTCACACTGCCATGCCCCTGCCATGCCCTGAAGGTACCATGAACACCCTGGAGGGGGCACTGTCTCCCACTGCATGCAAACTGTGCCCAGTGGGGAGGTACTGCAGCGGGGACGGTAACTGGGAACCAGATGGTAAGTTGTCCTGATAGATCCAGGACCACCAAGCACTGGAAGTCCACGAGTGGGTCTTTCTGAGCTGCATGGGGAGGTGGTGGAGACTCCTCTACAGAGATCAAAGGAAGGGAATTAAAGGAACCTCATTCGCTCCATGACTCTGTCATACTGTTCACTGAATGTGTATGAAGAGATTTGGATCTGTCATCTTGAGTCCTTTAGTTCCCCTCCCTGCAATTCCTGTGCTTGTTCCCTTCCCCCTCTCCTTCCTGTTCTCTTTTCCTATTGTTTCTCCCATTTCTAGTTTCTTCCTAGCTTGCTGTGCTCTCTCCTTCCCTGCATCCCCTCCCCTACTCTCTGTCTCTCCCTAGCACAGAGCAATTAAGATGATGCCAAGATGCAGAGGTTTGAGTTATGAAGGGAGAGAAGAAAAACTGAGCTCATTCCACAGGACAGTCACTCCACAGGAGGGAAGGAAAGGCCAGGGCGGGGGGCGGAAGGGGGGGGTAGTATAAATGATTCAGGGAGGGTGGAGGTAGACACCGAGGAAGGGAGGTCAGTCTAGAATAAAAGGGCCCAGGAAGTCAGAAGGAGGTGGGGATACAGGGAAACCTCTGGTGGACTCTGTACAGGAGACAGTAGAAAGCTGCTTTTCTCCTGGCCCGGCTGCCTGGTTCTGGGGTTGAGGTAGGTTCTTCCCCCAACCTCTGTGGAACTAAGTGCCACGGGCTGAGCCCTGAGCACCCCCTTTTTTCCAATGGCAGGGGTGTGTTCAGCCGGCTATTACTGCTCAGGAGGAGCTGCCGATGCTGTTCCACAGAGGACACCCAGGCTCCCCCTCAATGGGCCCTGCCCACCAGGACACTACTGTCCGGAGGGCACTCAGTTCCCAGTCGCTTGCCCCGTGGGCACCCTGAGTAACGCCACCGGTGAGTGCGTCTCCTCTTGGGCATTTTGCCTGGGATACACGGAGCAACCGGGCCTAATGATGCTTGTGCAGCGTATAGTGATTCCTGCCCAGGAGGAGCTGCCGATGCTGTTCCACAGAGGACACCCAGGCTCCCCCTCAATGGGCCCTGCCCACCAGGACACTACTGTCCGGAGGGCACTCAGTTCCCAGTCGCTTGCCCCGTGGGCACCCTGAGTAACGCCACCGGTGAGTGCGTCTCCTCTTGGGCATTTTGCCTGGGATACACGGAGCAACCGGGCCTAATGATGCTTGTGCAGCGTATAGTGACAGATCTATGGCTGCCTGGGAACATTGTGGTTGATACAGCGCGGGACGCCAGGGCCACTGGGAAATTCCAGGTTTAAAATGAAGATGCAATTATAGAAGCCAAGTCCCTGTCCCTTGCATTAAAGGAGATTCTTCCTTAGGCTATGTCGACACTACAAAGTTGTTTTTTTTCAGAAAAATGGCTATTTTTCTGAAAAAAACTTGAATTACATCCACACTGCAATCACATTCTTTCGAAAGAAAATCGAAAGAAGAGGGGTCTTTCCGACATTGGTAAACCTCTTTCTATGAGGCGTACAGATAGTTTGGAATAACTACATAGTTCGAACTATCTAGCCCGTGCCGCGTGTAGCCGCGCGGCACGGGGTTCGAACAAGCCGGCTTTTAAAAATGGCATTTCTCCCAGCATTGATCCCTCCACCTCTTACATGCTAACTGAACACACTGCCATTTGAGCTAATACTTAACAAGGGCTGTGTCTAGACTGGCCAGGGCATTTCAATTCACAGATGTACAGATTTTAAGGCCAGAAGGGACCACTATGATCATCTAGTTTGACCTCCTGAGTCATTCAGGCCACAGAATCTCCTCTGAAAGGCCTACATCAGGCCCATAACTGGAGTGAGTGTAATACCATGTATTTTAGAGAGATACCCAGTCTTGACTCAGAGTCCAAGTGATGGAGAATCCACCACATCCCTCAGCATTGTTCCAGTTGTTGGTTAACCCCTGTTAAAAAAACCCTAACCAATCCCCCGTCAACGCACCTTTCGTAACTGCTGTTTTTCGAGATGTGTTGCTCATGTCCGTTCCAAGTAGGTGTGTACACCACATGCACAGTTGCCAGAAGGTATTTTCTCTACTGGTACCCGTTGGGTCAGCTGTGGAGCCCCCTGTGCTGCCTTCATGGCAGCATATAGAAGTCTCTACAGAATGCGAGATGGCGTCCATTGCGGGGACACTATCTTTCAAGAAAGCAGATCGCTTTTCGATGTGCTCTGGCAGTGTGGACGCTCTCTTTCGGAAGAAGTTTTTTTGAAGATCTCTTCTGGAAAAGCTTCTTCTGAAAGAAGCCTGCAGTCTAGACACAGCCTTCGTGCTCAGCAGCATAGTGCCTGTGACGTACAGTAGGACAGTTTGGTTTACAGCCAGTGGGGACAGTGGTGCAGACGTTAGCCTCCTGATTGCAATATAATGATCATAAGCAAATACAACGCTGATGTGACTGGTTCAGATGAGTTCTTCCTCCCCTACCTGCCATTCCCTGTAACTCTAACTTCCCCCTTCCCTTCCAGGTGGTTCCTCCCCGGGCAGCTGTGTGCCATGCTATCCTGGGTTCTTCTGTGCCAGTATCGGTCTGAGCTCACCTACAGGACCCTGTGCAGGGGGTTTCTACTGCCCAGCAAACTTCAGCTCCTTCAGCCCCACTGCATTCCTCTGCCCCAAGGTACTGATCTCTGGCTGGGATCAGACAGCGATTGGGTCTCCAAACCCATTCAGTCTTGTAACCTCTGTCGGTATTGCCCATTGGTAACGGCCAACAATGCCAGGTAGCATTAAGCTAAAGAGTTTCCACCTTTCATTTGGAGAGAAGTGGCAGAGGCCATGGGTCCAATCCCGCCTCAGATGAGTCAAGAGGAGTTTTGCCATAGGCTTCAGCAGCTCTGATTGTGGCCCTTACAAATGAATGTGCTTGGATCTCTATGCATTGCTCTTCCTTCTGTTTCTGATTTCTAGGGTCATTTCTGTTCCTCTGGGTCTGCCCAACCAACCCCCTGCCCCACAGGGGAATACCAGCCCAACAGGGGTTCTGAGTCCTGCATTCCTTGCCAACCAGGTTTCTACTGCCAAGAGGCAACTGCAGGAGACCCCCAGCCCTGCCCACCACACTCCTACTGCCCTGAAGGTATGTAATCGATGTCCCTTCACAGGCACGCTAGTATATGCTGGTTCATACTGCTCTCCTGGCTGGCTGTATAGCATGTGCCAGAATATACCCTTCCCTGCCACACTGCTACGTCTGCTTTCCCTTCCGCTTCTGGTCCCTTCTCTGCTGGGTATACACCTTCCCATTGGTCCTATGTCAGTGCATCTCACTATAAGTAAGGAGGGAATCTTCTAGCAGCTGGGGAATGGGAGTGTAGAAGTGGAGCAAACCTTGGGCCATACCTACCTTTGCCTTATACCTGATGGACTCATTTACACCCGTGTGATCTGGATGTAAAACATTATCCAGTGACAATGCAGTCCCTCTGCACTAGTGTGAATGACTCACAGGGTGCCTGGCGGGCAAGAATCAGACCCTTTGTGCATATCTTCCCCCAAGTTGATGAGAGGAGGGAGAGAAGAAGTAGTGTAAGTGTGTGTGAGATTACTAGATTTGATTAGTCACAGGAGAAGAGCTCTGACAGGCAGGAGCCAAGCAGAGCCCTTCTTCATTCGGTAGTGCCTTGGCCTCAGGATGCAGTGATTTATAAAGTTTGTGGATTATATCAAGCGGGGAAGGGTTGCAAGGGCTTTGGAGGATAGGGTCATAATTCAGAATCAACTGGACAAACTGGAGAAATGGTCTAAGGTAAATAGGGTGAAGTTCAATATGCAAAGTACTCCACTTAGGGTACATCTACACAGCAGGGCAAAAGTCGAATTAAGATACGCAACTTCAGCTATGTCAATTGCGTAGCAGATGTCGAAATAGCTTAATTTGGCTTTTGGTGCTGTCCACACAACAGGAAGTTGAAGGGAGAAGACTCTTCCTTTGACTTCTCTTATTCCTCATAAAATGAGGGTTACAGGAGTCAGAGTAAGAAGTCCTCCAGTTCAATATTATCCTGAAATAAAGGCTTGTAGTGTAATAAAGCCTTGATTTAGATGGTGCTTGGTCCTGCTGTGAGGGCAGGGGACTGGACTTGATGACCACTCGAGGTCTCTTCCAGTTCTAATATTCTAGCACTATGTAGCTAGAGACATAAAGGGTAACAAGAAGACATTCTACAAACATATTAGAAGCAAGAGGAAGACCAAGGACAGGGTAGGCCCATTGCTCAGTGAAGAGGGAGAAACAATAACAGGATACTTGGAAATGGCAGAGGTACTTAATGACTTCTTTGTTTCAGTTTTCACCAAGCAGTTTTATGGTGACGGGATACCTAACATAGTGAATGCTAGTGGAAATGGGGTAGGTTTAGAAGTTAAAATAAAAAAAGAACAAGTAAAAAAATATGTAGAAAAGATAGATGTCTTCAAGTCAGCAGGGCCTGATGAAATGCACTCTAGAATGCTCAAGGAGCTGATAGAGGAGGTATCTGAGCCTTTAGCAATCATCTTTGAAAAATCATGGAAGTTGGGAGAGATTCCAGAAGACTGGAAAAGGGCAAATATAGTGCCCATCAATAAAAAGGGAAATAAGAACAACCCAGGAAACTACAGACCAATCAGACTAACATCTGTGCCAGGGAAGATAATGGAGCAAGTAATTAAAGAATCCATCTGCAAACATCTGAAAGATAATAAGGTGATAGGTAACAGCTAGCACGGATTTGTAAAGAACAAATCATGTCAAACCAATCTGATAGCTTTCTTTGATAGGATATCTAGCTTTGTAGATAAGGGAGAAGTGGTGGACATGGTGTACATAGACTTTAGTAAGGCATTTAACATGGTCTTGCATGACCTTCTTATTAATAAACTAGGGAAATACAATCTAGCTGGGGCTACTATGAAGTGGGTGCATAACTGGCTGGATAACTGTTGTCACAGTGTAGTAGTTATCGGTTCACAGTCATGCTGGAAGGACATAAGTAGGGTTCCACAGGGGTCTGTTTTGGGGCCAATTCTGTTCAATATCTTCAAGAATTTAGATGATGACATACAGAGTATGCTTATTAAGTTTGCAGATGATACCAAGCTGGGAGGGGTTGCAAGTGCTTTGGAGAATAGGGTCATAATTCAAAATGATCTGGACAAACTAGAGAAACGTTCTGAGGTAAATAGGATGAAGTTTAATAAGGACAAATGCAAAGTACTCCTCTTAGGGTGGAACAATCAGTTGCACACATACAGAATGGGAAGTGACTGTCTAGAAAGAAGAACTGCTGAAAGGGATCTAGGGGTCACAGTGGACCACAAGCTAAATATGAGTCAACAATGTGATACACGTGCAAAAAAAGCAAACATGATTCTGGGATGCATTAACAGGAGTGTTGTGAGCAAAACACAAGTAATTCTTCCCCTCTACTCTGCACTGATTAGGCCTCAACTAAAGTATTGTGTTCAGTTCTGAGCACCACATTTCTGGAAAGATGAGGCGAAACTGGAGAAGGTCAAGAGAAGAGCAACAAAAATGATGAAAGGTCTAGAAAACATGACCTATGAGGGAAGATTGAAAGAGCTGGGTTTGTTTAGTTTAGAAAAGAGAAGACTGAGAGGGGACATGATGGCAGCTTTCAAGCACCTAAAAGGGTGTTGGAAGAAGGAGAGAGAGAAATTATTCTCCTTAATCTCTGAGGATAAGACAAGAAGCAATGGGCTTAAATTGCAGCAAGGGAGGTTTAGGTTGGACATTAGGAAAAGCTTCTTACCTGTCAGGGTGGTAAAGCACTGGAATAAATTGCCTAGGGAGGTCGTGAAGTCTCCACCATTGGAGATATTTAAGAGCAGGTTGGATAGACATCTGTCAGGGATGATCTAGATGGTGTTTGGTCCTGCCGTGAGGGCAGGAGACTGGACTTGATGACCTCTCAAGGTCCCTTCCAGTTCTAACATTCGATGATTTGCTCTTAAGGGCTCTGCAATGCCCTCTACACTGCTCAGACCCTGATACCCTGTAGTCCTTCTAGGTCAGCACCGTGCATGTGAATAATTATGCCCTGTAAGTGAGATCATGTTTGTGACATGGCTAGTTTTGTCACCCTGACAGTGCCTATGCACATACACGGGATTGGAATTCCCAATTCAAAACAGTATAGTAGTGGTTACAAATAACAGACTACCTGCACAAGGAAAGGACTGTAAAGCATTTCCAGGCCTTCTCTGGCTTTATATTTACTCTCATGTTTCTGTGCTAGGTGCACTGGTTCCTTCTCCGTGTCCTGATGGCACGTTCACCCTTCCAGACATGATTGGCCTGAGGGAAGAGAGAGAATGCCTGGCCTGTTCACCCGGTCACTACTGCAGGTCCTTATTCTGCTGGTTGCCTGTGTAGTTTTAGTTGATGTTAGTATTTTACCTCCCTGCCACATTGCTGTGCACAGTTAAGGAGCTGCCTTTTCTACCCCAGAGGTGGCTGTATGTCAGTAGTTGGTGAAGTGATCCCAATATACACTGGGTTAAACCTGTGTCAGCCGACAGTCAGGGCAGTGTGTCTGTGTGTGTGCGTGTGTGTGAGTCTTTAACGTCCGTGCCTTTACCGCTAGGACTGGGGTCCCGTCGCAGAGGGCAGTCAACAGGCTGACAGATGCCCCAGAGTTTATAGGAAGAGCTTATTACATCTCAGATTTCAGCTGCTAGGATACAGGATCCCTACGTAGTGGGCAGACTAGGGAAGACAGAGAGATGCCCCAAGGGATCTGTCACCTGGGAGTGACACGATCCAAAATGCCCAAGCTCTTCCTATACCTGTCCCTTATGACCAGCTGAAGTTCTTTTAAATTGTGCTTGGTTCTGTTACAGCAACTGAAGGAGTCAGGTTAAAACTTAAACAGTTACAGGTTTATTAAAAAGACTTATACAAGCAAATGGTTACAATGGCTATTGCTCTATTTCTTAACTGCTAGCAAATACAGATTTTAAAAATGGTTACAAAGAAAATAAAGATAGAAAATAGAAATAATGGTACCAAGTGACAGCTTAATCTTTAAAGAGCTCTAAGTCTATGTGTATACTTATGCCAAAGGACCACATCCCGGTACCTCAGCTTGCCAGCAATAGGTACTTGGCAGGCGGGGTCCGACACGAGTGAATGTTTGCCTATATCCTATCACAAGCAGCGTCATATGAAAATCCCCACTGCTCTCTCTACCCCAGGGGCGGGCGTTTGGAGGGGAAGTGTGCTGCTGGGTACTTCTGCCAGGCCGGGAGCTCTGAGTCTACTCCCCAAGGCGATGATGTACCCTGGAGCTCCCTGACAGAATGCCGCTCGGGGCAGATGCATGCGGGTCTCTGCCCAGCAGGTGAGTGAGAATCACGGTGATATGTGAAGTGCACAGTAGATATCTGGTTTTAACCAGCCAGGATATGAGCAAGTATCTAGTATCTCTTCATGACCTGTTCTGACCCCTGATTTGATGGTCCCATCAGCTTAGCTAAAGGAGGATATATCTGTATTGAAAGTGCTGCATTCGTAATTGCTTCCTCACCAGCTCCTTCCATTTCCCTGATTTCAAAACAAAGACGGGCTTGACCCAAAATCCCCGATTCAAGCAATTCGGGTGTTCAAACCCGGAGCCTGGCTGAACTGTATGCTCAGCCCCATCTAGCGCCACGGTCTCTTGTAAGTGCTGCTCTAAGGTGCTGAGCAACCCGCTCGCTGTTCCCCCTTCTGTGCTGAATCTGGAAAAAGAGCCTTGAGACCTAAGTTCTGATCCCTTCACATAAGAGTTCGTTGTGCTTTGCCTCTGGCTGTGGATGGAACGCCTTGGCGTCGAAGCGAGACCTGGATTAGAGTTCTGAATGGTCAGTTCTGGCTTTTGTCCATAAGCTTCATCACCTCCCAGTCATTCACCATGGGCAGGAGAGAGGGTCCCAGAAGGTGGGCTCTTCCGGGTTAGCTGCCAGAGGAGACAGTTCTCCCTCTGGTCTATCTTTATGTCGGAGCGGGGCTTCTGGAGCTCTGGACTCCGCCCACTGCCAGTTCTCACCTCTTTGGCCTGTCAGGTGAAGCTAATGGTTCCAGTGTCTGCCGTGAGAATTCATGATCCTGGATTCGTGGCTTGTCACGCTCTGAAGGGGACTATTTTGCTGTATCACAGGGAGACAGCTACGGAGACACTTGCCTGTCAGAAGGGACGTTTTGTTGTTTCTCTCTCAGGTTTCTACTGCCACGAAGGCTCAGAGGTGCCCACGCCATGCCCCCCCAACACCATTGGAGCCATCCCGGGGGCGAAGCGGAGAGAGGACTGCCTACCCTGTCCACCGGGCCACTGGTGCAAAGCAGGTCCAAACTTGGGAGACAGTAGGAGTTATAGATCATGTGTCACTGAGGAAAGTGTGTGCATGAAATTACTGACCTCGTCAGGCTGGTACTGATGCAGGGTCTGGAATGTGGAACACAGGGAGCTTGGACAAATCCATGGTCCACCCAGTAAGCTACCCTGTCGTCATCCGCGGGTGACCAGGGCTGGCTACTGCAGAGGAAAGAATAAGTACCCACTCTATGTACATTATACTTCTACTATTACTACTCATGTAATACAGTAGTATGCAGGGATTCAGAATCTAGAGAAGGGCCTCAAATCAAATTCAGTCTCCAGTCCCCCCATGTCCCGTAGTTCTAGTCCCCCAGAAGAGCGGCGTGCTGTTTGCGG